GAAATTTAAAAAACATTTCAAAAAGCAATGACACCAAAAACTGTGTCTTTGAAAAAAAATAAAATAAAACTCTAGCTAAGATTAATCAGAAAAGGGGGAGAAAAACAAATAAATATGTTCAAAAACAAGAGAGTAGAAATTACAAAAGACTTCAGAAATTCAGCAGATAATCAGTTTACTATGTAAAATTAAATGCAAACCAATTTAACAACCTAGATGAGAGGGACAGATTCTTAGAATTATATAATCATTCATGACTGAATAGGAGAATAGTAGAAAATCTAAACAAACCATGAGGAAGGAAACTTAAACAGTAATGCAAACTCTCCCAAAAAGCCAAATTCCAGGACCAGATGGCTTCGCAAGGCATTCCTACCAAACTTTCAAAGACAAACTAATTCCTGTCAGGCTCAGATTCTTTAAAATTTTTTTTAAGAAAAAAGAAACACTTCAAAACACATTTTATGAGGCCAACTTCACACCACTACCCAAATCAAAGACAATACAAAACCAAAACAAAACAAAACAAAACAAAACCAAACCCAGAAAACTATAAAGTCTCCTTACTGAAAACAGATACAAAAATCCTCCATAATACCTTAGCAAATCGAATCCAACAATGCATGAAAAGAATTATACACCACGATCAAATGAAATTTATTCCAGGGACACAGAGATGATTAAACATCCAAAAAGCAAACAATTTAACTCATCACATCAACATAAAGAACAGTAAAAACTGGGCCTCCAGGCCTCCCGTGGTGGCGCAGCGGTAGAGCGCTGGGCTGCGAAGCTGCCCGCAGCCTCTGCAGCGCCTGTTGGATCCCTGGCTGCCAGCGAGGGTACCACATGGCGCGCAGACCTCTCCTGCTGCCCGCTGCTCCTCTCAGCAGTGTTCTTCGGTCCTTCTGCCTGTTCTGCTCCTTTCTCTGGCTCTGGTGAATTCTCTCACCCTCCCGTGCTTCTGACTGTACCCAGTGCTTGTATAAATAAATAAAAAATAAATAAATATTTTTTTTAAAAAAAAACAGTAAAAACCATATGATGATATCAAGAGATGCCTAGAACAATTTGATAAAGGTCAATGTCCATTTGTGATGAAAGCCTTTGAAAAAATGGTGATAAAAGTAAGATATCTTAGCATAATAAAAACCAGATATGACAAATCTATAATTGGAATCATTCATAATGGTAACAAACTGTAAGCCTTTCCATTAAGATCTGGTACAAGACAAGGATGTCCATTCTCACTGCTACTATTCAATGTAGTATTGGAATTCCTAGCTACTGCAACTAGGTAAGAGAGAGATATAAAATGAATCCAAATTAGGAGAGAAGTAAAACTATCATTATTTGCAGATGACATGGTAATACATATACAGAGAGAACCCAGAAAATCCACAGAAAAACTTATTAAAACAATAAACCAGTTCAATAATGTGGCAGGTTACAAAATCACTACAAAAAATCAGTTGTCTTCCTATATGCAAACAATCAGCTTTAAAAGGAAGTCATAAAGGGCCTCCCCTGGTGGCGCAGCGGTTGAGCACTGGGCTGCCAGGCTGCCTGCAGCTTCTGCATCGCTGGTTCGTCCCCTGCCACCAGGGAGGGTCCCAAAAAAAAAAAAAAAAAAAGGAAATCATAATCACATTCACAACTGTACCAAAAATTTTAAATACCTGGGAATATCAAGGGAGGTGAAGAGCCTATACAAAGAAAATAACAAAACAGTGTCAAAAAGACACACATAACTGGAAAGATGTACCCACTCATTTACTGGAGGATCAACATTATCAAATGGCCATTCTACCCAAAGTAATTTGCAAATTCAATGTAATCCCAATAAAAATTTCAATAGCATTCTTTAAAAAACATGGGTAAAAACACTGCTAAAATCCATATAGAATCACAAAGACCCAAATAGCCAAAGCTCTCCTAACTAAAAGGGGGAAAATGGTGTTGTTATACATCCAAACTTCAGACTATAATTCCATATTAATTAAAACAGTTTGATGCTGGAACAAAAAGAGACACACAGACCAACGGAATAGAATTGAGAACCATAAATAAAGCCACACATATATGGACAGCTTATCTATGACAAAGTAGCAAAGAATATACACTGCAGAAAGGAAAATCTCTTTAATAAATGGTATTGTGAAAAGTGGACTGCCACATGTGAAAGAATGAAACTAGACCACAATCTCACACCATCTCTCAAAATCAACTCAGAATTATAGATAAAAGACTTGGATGTAAGACCTGAAACCATAACATGCATAGAAGAATACAGAGACAAAACACTCATGACATAAACTTCAGAAACACTTTTGCAGATTCGTTCCCAGCAGCAAGGGAAACAAAGGGGAATATAAGCAACTGGAACAATACATTAACCTAAAAAGCTACTGTACAGTGACAGTTACCAAAACCAAGAGACACCTCACTGAATGGGAATAATTTTTTGCATGCCGTGCATCTGAAAAGGGAATGATATCAAATATTTGCAAAGACCTAATACAATTCAACAGAAAGAAAAATACAACCCAATCAAAAAATGAGCAGAAGAGCTAAGCAGGCACTTTTGTAAGGAAGACAAACAGATAGCCATCAGGCATATGAAAAAATTTTCATCATCACTTATCAGGGAAATGCAAATTAAATCCATTATGAGATACTACCTCACACCCGAGAATGACCCACACAGAAAGACCAGCAACAATTAGATGCACCTAATGGTGACAGTGCGGAGAAATAGGAACCCTCTTAAACTTTTGGTGGGAGTGTAGAGTGGTCCAGTCCCCTATAAAAAGACTAAAAATGGATCTGCCATATGACCCAGTAATCCCAAACCTAGGTGTCTACATCAAAAATTCAAAAACACTAATTCAAAGAGAAACCTGTACTCCATATTTATAGCAGCGATATTTACAAAAGTCAAGATATAGAGACAATCTAAGTGCTGCAAAATAGACAAATGAATCAAGAAGAGGTGGTATATATACACAATGGAATACTACTCAAAAATCAAAAAAGACAAACTCATGCCATTTGCAACAACATGGATGGAGCTGGAAGGGCTCTTACTAAGTGAAGTAAGCCAAAATGAGAAAGAGAAATACTGGATGATCTCATTTTTATGTGGAATATAGAGAAACCAAACAAGGTTCAGACAAAAATTTTAAAACCAACCCTTGAAAGTTGACCATAGATTTGAGGCATCAAAGATGGGAAAGGCAGGGGAGTAGGAGGGAGGGAGGAGAGAACAGGGATTATGGGGGGAGAACCTAGACTATGAAGGACTGTAGTGTTTTCACAGAGGGAGAGCCACAATAATCACACTTGAGGGGAAAAATCCTATACTGTCAAAATATTAATAAAAATGTGAAACAAGTAAATAAATAATTTTTAAAAAGGAAACAGTGGGAAAATAAAACAACTCAGTGAATGTGATGTACTGAGACAAAAATACAGGTATTTTGTAATAAAAATATAAATAACCCAATCAAAACATGGTCAGAAGAAATATGTAACTTTCCAAAGGAGACATGCAAACAGCCAACAGGCCAATGAAAATATATTCGTCATCAACGATCACTAGGAAAGTGCAAATCAGAACTACAATGTGATAACACCTCACAGTTGTGAGAATGGCCCATGTGAAAAAGATCAAATATTGTCAAGGTTACAGCAAAATTGAACCCTTGTGCACTCTTTGTGACAATGTAAACTAGTCTAAAAAATGTATTCTTCTCTAACCCCTATGGAAAATGGTATAGAGTTTATCAAAATATTAAAACTAGACACACCTTATGATGTAGAAATTCCATTCCACAAGAATGCAAAAACATGAGTTCAAAGGGATTGCGTCACATTCTATGTTCATTGTAGCATTATTCACAATAGCCACATTATAGAAACAACTTGTGTCCAATAACAGAAAAGTAGATTATGAAGATGCTGTGCACACATGCACACACACACACAATGGAATACTACTCAGTTATTTAAGAAAGTGAAAGCTTGCCATTCCAATAACATGGATGAATAGGAAAGGATTGTGTTAAGTAAATGAGTCATAAGTAGAAATATAAATCCAGACAATTTCACTCAGATATGGAATATGAAGGAACAAAACAAAGTGACAGACAAAACTAAACCAAAACAAACCCTAGACAGTTGACTACAGAATTGAGGTTACCAGTTGGGAGGGTGGTAGTGGGGAGCATGTTGAGGATGTGACCCAATGGAGTTTGGTGGAGGACTATGGGTGACTGATTGTTGGGTATGGTTTGTGAACAAACATTTCTGAAAGTGTGAACTTATACTTCTAAATCACATACAGTCTTGTAAACCAATGCTATCCAAATAATAATAATAATAATAATAATAATAACAATAATAATAATAAATACAATAAAAATCAAAAGAAAAAAAAGATACCGAAATTTGTGACAACATGGATGACCTGGAAGATGCAATGCTAAGTGATATAAGCCAAACATAGAAAGAAAAATAAGACATGATCTCAGTTGTATGTGGAATCTAATATACTCATTTGCATAGAAGCACAAAGTAGAAAGTTAGCTACTTGGATGGGGAAGTGGAGCAAATGGGGAGGTATTGGTCCAAAGGTACAAAGTTACAGTTATGATTACAGTTAACAATATTATATGTATACTGGAAATTTGCTAAGCTAAGAGAGATTTCAGGTGCTCTTATATAAACACAAAAAGTAATTATGTGAGGAATTGGATATGTTAATTAATGTTATTGTAGTAATAATTTCACTATATGTATATTAAAACTTCATTTTGCACACTTTAAGTGTATACAATTATTGTTAACAATAGAATAAAATAAATATGCATCTATTTCTTGTCATACATTTAACCAAATGTTTTGAAGACTTTAGATTTGAAGTACAGTGAGCTTAAAAGCAAATGAAAATGCATTAAATTTTCAAAAGGTATTAGTAGAAAGTGCAGCACATAAAATACCTTGAGAGCTTCCTTCAGACAAACAGATGGATATGTCATCATTTCTTTCATTATCCTCTCCTCCTTCAGGGCCAGTTTCTTCTACTGGTGTGAGTGCAGACAAAGAACCAGGATCGGGCTGCTCAGAAAAATCAGCAGGGCCTCCTCTTGGAGGTGGAACTTCAATCCCCATTAATCGATATTTCCTTCTTCGATTCCCAATCCAAGTCTTTATAGAAGAAATACAAGAGGAAGTTTTGTAAATGTAAAAATCTTAGTTTTTCTGTCCATTACCAGAGGGGAAAGCATTGAAAAGGTATGGATCAAGAAAGCCAATTGGTTGTTGGTGGATAGTAACTGAGCATTTGGTGATGGGCGAAGTGAGATATATGCAGTTGTTGAAGTGAGAAAATGTACTCCTGGAAACTATACCATGTTGTAAACTAATATTATCTCATTAAAAAAGAATAATGAATGTATCCAATATAGAACATACACAGGCCAAATATAGCAAGATAAATCTTAAACTTAGTGGAAGAATTTAACGGTTAGCAGAGGGAAGAAGGGCAAGGGAATAAGGGGTGTGAGGGAGGCAGAGGGTGTACTGGCATGGGTGATTTGATGGAGGGTAGAGGAATATACCCATATATGGAAGAGCAAAATGTAATACCCAAATTAAAATTTAAAAATAAATTTAAAAAATAATATAAAAACACGATTAAAATGAACAGAGGCACAGAGAATAATGAAATTTTATTACTCAAACTAAGATGGTTATGTTTTTACTTTTTAATATCTTATCTGAAGAAAGATATTTATATGAATATCCAGATTTCCAAATAACATGCAGACCATTGCAGAATACTTTTTGTTTTTTTATTTCCTTTTTCTGGAGAAAATAATCTACCAAATCTTTCAAAAGAAACACAAATTGGTTCTTTCTTAAAGGAACCAGTCATACAGTTATAACTATAGTATCCCATTTCTAATCTAACTCTTCTTAGGTGAAAATGTGCCTCCTATTAACTTTAGGCATTTTAAATATTCTAAAAATTTCTGTTATTGTGTTTATAAATTATTTTTAAAAGATTTAATCTTTATATTAAAATGCTTTTAGAGCTACAGGAAGTTGCAAAGAGAGATCTGATGTATCCTTCACTCAGTTTCCTCTAAATTTCACATAATAATAGCACATTGGCCAAAATAGGAAATTAATATTGCATATTTTGTATGTACAGTTCTACTTTACTATATAAGATCATTTTTTCTTATTCTTCCACCCATCCCCACCTCCAGCAACCACTAATTTCTTCCATCTTTATAACTGTCATTATATAAATGAAATCACAGAACATGTGACTTTTTGAAAATTTTTTTCACTTAATATAATTTCCTGGAGATTCATTCAAGTTGTGTGTATCATAGCCCATTACTTTTTATTGCTAAGAAATATTCCATGATACTTAAGTATCATTTTTTTTTCTATTTTCTTTGCAATATTTATTTACTCATTGGAGGACACAGTTGCTTCCAATTGTTGGCTAGGGCATATAAAGCTTTTTTTTTACAGTCATGTACAGGTTTTTATGTGGATTATTTTCATTTTTTAGGAAAAATTCCCAAGAATGAAATTTCTGTAATTACATGTTTAGTTTTATAAGAAACTGCCAAATCGTTTCCAGAGTTGTGCCATTTACATTCCTACCAGCAATATATGAGCGATCCAGTTTCTTGGCATACCTGCCAGCATTTGGCACTCTCAGTAATTAAAACTGTTTTTAGCTGTTGCCATTGGTGCATTGAGCAATAGATCAAGTTCTTAATTTGATTCTCCAGTGACTGGAGTTGTTGAATATATTTTAATTTGCTTATTTGGTATCTGTATATCTCAGTGAAATGTCTGTCTTTTGCCCATTTTAAAATTAAGTTGCCTTTTATAAATATTATGTTTTGAGAGTTCTTTACATAGTCTAGATAAGAGGTTTCGCCAGATAAGTGTTTTTGCAAATATTTTTCCCCAGTATGCAGAAGATAAGAGATCTTTGTCAGATGTGTGGTTTAGAAATATGTTCTCTTAGTCTGTAGATTGCATTTTCAGTGTCCTAGTCTTTCACAACACAATAGTTTTTAGTTTTAAAGAAGTCCAATCTATTTCTTTTGTTTGCTTTATAGATTGTGCTTTTACTGCCATTTATAAGAATTCTATACCGAGCCCTACATTCCTGAAAAATTTCCTTATGTTATCTTTTAAAAGTTCGTTTTTATTTTACATTTTCAATATGTGATCCATTTTGGGTTCATTTTAGTAAAGGATATGTGAAATAGATACAAGTTCATTCATTTTTTGCTATGGGTATGCAATTGTTCCAGCACCATTTTTTTTAGAAGACTTCCTCCATTGAATTGATTTATATGCTAATATATCAATCTATATATATATTCTTTGGTGATGTGTCCATTTATATATTTCCCATTTTGAGCTGGGTTTTCTTATTGTTGAGTTTCATGAGTTTTTTGTACATTTTGGGTAAAAGTTCTTTATCTGAATGTGTTTTACAAGAATTTTCCTCCAGTTTGTGGCTTAACTTTCATTCTCTTAAGAATGTTGTTTGCAGAGCAGAAGTTTTTAATTTTACTAAGCTCCATTTGTAATTTTTTTTTTCTTTTATGTATCATGCTTTGTTGTTGTATTTAAGAAGTCACTAACAAACCCATGATCACTTAGATTTTCTCCTATGTTATCTCTAGGAGTTATAGTTTTGAATTTTACCTTTAGATCTATAATACATTTTTATATTTTTATTTTTTTAAAGATTTATTTATTTATTTATACAAGCACTGGGTACAGTCAGAAGCACGGGAGGGTGAGAGAATTCACCAGAGCCAGAACGGGGAACAGAACAGGCAGACCGACGAAATACACTGCTGAGGGGAGCAGCAGGCATGGCAGGAGAGGTCTGCATGCCGTGTGGGACCCTCGCCAGGTGGCCGGGGATCGAACCAGCACTGCAGAGGCTGCGGGCAGCTTTGCAGCCCAGCACTCAACCACTGTGCCACCAGGGGAGGCCCTATAATACATTTTTAAAAGATTTATTTATGCATACAAGAGTTGGGGTGTAGGCCAGAAGTGTGGAGGGTGAGAGGATTCACCAGAGACAGAGTGGGAAGCAGAACAGGCGTAACTACTGAAATAAACTGCTGAGGGGAGCAGTGGGCAAGAGAGGAGAGGTCTACTGCACCATGTGGGTCAGCTACCTGGCAGGGGATTGAAATAGTGCTGCAGTGGCTGCCAATAGCTTCATAGTGCTGAGACTTAACCCCTTGGCCATCAGGGACGCCCTAGATCTCTAACACATTTTTAATTAATTTTTTGTGAAGAATGTAAAGTCTATGTTACATTATTTTCTTGCATGTGGTTGTCCAGTTTTTAACACCATTTATTCAAAAGACTATCCTTTACCATTGGATTACCATTGCACTCTTATCAAAGATCAGTTGACTATATGTGGATCTATTTCTGGATTCTTTATTTTGTTTCAGTGATCTATTTGACTATTCTTCACTGCCATCACACTGACTTGATTAGTATTGTTTTATAGTAAGTTTGTAGTTGGGTAGTGTCTGTCCTTTAACTTACTTTGTTCTTCTGTTTTGATATTGCATTGGCTATTTTGGTACTTTTCCCATTCCATATAAACTTAAAAATCAAGGCCTCCCTGGTGGCACAAGGGGTCAAGCATAGCACAGCACTGTGAAGCTACCCGCAGCCTCTGCAGCACGACAGGAGTTTAATTTCTGGGAGGCCAGGAAGCTATACACATGGTGCAGCGGAACTCTCCTTTCTCGCCTGCTGCTCCCCTCAGCAGTGTATTTCAGTCTGCCTGTTCTGTTCCCCACTCTGTCTCTGGTGAATACTCTCACCCCTGGCAACTCTGTCCTGTACCCCAGTTCTTCTGTGTATAAATAAATGTTTTAAAAAAATACTTAAAAATCAATTTGTCAGTATCCACAAAATAAATTGGTGGGATTTTTATTGGGATTTTATTGAGTCAAAGATCAAATTGGGAACAGCTGACATCCTGATAATATTGAATATTTATATCTATGTAGATGGAAAATAATCTCCATTTATTTTAATATATTTTTTAAAAATTTATTTATTTATGTACACAAGAGCTGGGGTATAGGCCAGAGATGCAAGGAGGTGAGAGGTTTCACCAGAGACAGAGTGGGGAACAGAACAGGCAGACTGACTGAAATACACTGCTGAGGGGAGCAGCGGGTGAGACAGGAGAGGTCTGCTGCACCATGTGGGTTGCTCCCTGGATGGCCAGATATCGAACTCATGCTGCAAAGGGTGCGGATTGCTTCATAGTATGGTGCTTAACCCCTTGCACCACCAGGGAGGCCCGAATTTTAATATTTTTAATTGAGCTTTATGGTTTTTGCTCTACAGGTTTTGTAGATTTATATCTAAGTATTTCATTTTTGGGTTGCCCATATAAGGGGTACTTTTCTCAATTTCATTGATTTTTGCTTGTACTTTAGTTTCCCTTTTTTGCCCCTATTTGCTTTGTGTTCATTTTGGTCCTCTTTTTCTAGTTTCTTGAAATGAGAGCTTAGCTTATTGATTTGAGATTTTCCTCATTTTGAATGTATGATTTAGAACAAATTTTCCTTCAACACTTCTATAATTGTATACCACAAATTTTGATATATTGTGTTTTTTATCTTCATGCTGTTCAATATATTTTTACTTTTACTAATATCTAATGCTCTTCCTTTCTTTACATAGATCCACATTTCTAACCTATATCGTTTTCATTCTTTCTGAAGAAGCTCCTTTTAAAATTTTTTGCAAAACAACTTGTTGGCAACTAATATCCTCCTATATTTCTCCATTTTTGAAGGATAATTTCACAGGATACAGCATTTTAGGTTGGTAGATTTTGTTCTTACACCACTTTAAATATTTTACTCCACTCTTTCTTGCATAATTTCCAAGAAGACAGATATAATTTGAACTTTTCTTCTTATAGATATCTTCCCACTTCAGCTCATTTCAGTTTTTATAATCTTTGATATTCTATATTCTGCAAGTGTTAAAATGATATGGTCTACATTGTTTTTTTTTTTTCTTTTCCTCCCTTTTTTTAAAAAAAAACTTTATCCTGTTTGGTGTTCTTTATGCTTCCCAGATATGTGGTTTTGCTGTCTGATATTAGTTTG